TCATCAGGTCTTAGACAAGGATGCATTCTCGCACCTGCCCTATTCATCTTGCTGTTCACCTACGTCCTCCGCAAAGCCCATCAGTCAATGCCAGACTTTGGAATCGACATTCGTCACAAATAGGATGGTAAACTTTTCAACCTTCGCCGCCTGAAAACAAAGTCAGCTACCAAGACAAGATTAAGTGACTTCCTGTATGCCGATGATGCGGCTCTTGGAACATCATCACAAGCCTCTCTACAGGAGGCAGCAACAGCACTCAATGAGTCTTGCAACAGCTGGGGCCTCACCATCAGCAAGCCCAAAACTGAAKTCATGMACATAGAGTGCCATGATGTTGAACCAACAAAGCTAGATGACTTCGAACTTAAGAGAGCTCATAAGTTCACATATCTAGGGGGAGACCTTACAGATGATGGCAGTTTGGAACCTGAAATCAAGAAGAGGATCAGTCGAGCTGYGTATACATTCCGATCTCTGAACACACGATGCTGGAACAGAAATGGCCTATCTATCAACACAAAGCTGACAGTGTACAAGGCTGCGGTACTACCAACACTGCTATATGGAAGTGAGACCTGGCCCACCCTTGCTAGGTTCATACAACTGCTCGAGATGTTCCACCAATGCTCCCTCCGTCGCCTTCTAAACATCAAATTGTGGCACAAGATCACAAACACGGAGGTCCTCTAAAGAGCGAAGAGCACAACCATTGAGACAGCAGTACGTAGCAACAGCTTGCGATGGCTAGGCCACGTTTGTAGGATGGACAATAACAGGATTCCGAAACAGCTACTCTTTAGCGAACTGGACAAGGGGAAGCGTGGAAGAGGACGCCCAAGAAAGCGCTGGAAAGACTGCGCAAAGGAAGACCTGAAACTCTTCGGCTTCGACCAGAACTTGTATGAAGTAACACAAGATCGAAAGGAGTGGTGCCAGAAGACAATATCAGGAAAGTACTTTCAGAAGAAACCCTTGCTAAAAGACCTGAAGCAAGACGGCAACGACGTCACAATAGGGTCACCGATCTTCAAAACTGAAGCGGACGGCACATACATACATACATACATTGTGCTCTCTGGTGCAAGCGGGTGTGGAAAAACTACCTTTTGCGAACGGTTATTAAGGAATTTAAATGAGATGTTTGATCAGAAAATCGAGCGGGTTGTTTATTGTTATGGAGAGTTTCAGCCGCGCTTTCTTATCATGGAAAAAGAGATACCGAATTTAACGTTTGTCAAGGGATTCCCCGAAGATATCTACTCCCTCTGATAAAACCCCTGGGCTAATTATCATGGACGATCTGATGAGCGAATACTCGACTAATGATAGCATGAGGGACTTGATGACAAAGGGATCCCATCACCGAAACATCGCCTGTTTGCGGTTAGCTCAAAACTTATTTTATGGTGGAAAACACTCAAGGACTATTTCTCTCAACACACATTACATCGTGGCCTTTAAAAATCCTAGGGATTCCCTCGGGATTTCCACTTTAGCTCGACAAGCCTATCCAAGGGCGGTTCCCCACGTGTTAGAGAGTTTTGATGACGCTACAAAAGCACCGTTTTCGTATCTTTTGTTGGACTTTCATCCCTCTACACCAGACCACCTCCGTTTACGCACATCTATATTTCAAGACGAGTTGCAGGTGGTGTATGTAAAGCGTATATAATCCCTAACACAACAAATCATTGCTTCATTTGATCATGTCACNGGGCAAAGCCTACAGTTACTTTACATCTAATTGGCTGAAAGAAGTCTTTTACCATGATATAACACAGTCGTCAAAATACTGCCTATTAAAATCGGAAACAACACCATCCCAAAGCATCAACAACCCTCCACATAAAATATGGGTCTGTATTGAAAAAATCACTGGAAATATCAAGTCTGCATATTGCACCTGTTTTGCAGGGTAGGTTTACTTTGTGTTTTGCTAACTGGTATGATTTTTAATCTTGGGACTAAATAAATCAACACTCTTTTGTTTCTGTAACTCATTTATTGTTCCAATTTCTGTTTGCATTCTTTCATTATTTTGAAAGTAGTTATTCACATGAGATTGTATTTATCTGTAGCAAAATACACCCTGAATATAGAGCAAATAAAACTCCAAAGTAAAAGTGTTATAATTGTAACATTTMCATTARTGGAACAACATTCTATTACATSTCTTTATTCATCAAATATATAATACTTTGTTTATTTATGTACTTAAAGGCTTGGATCAACCTGCAATCACATTGCAGCAGTGTTATTTAAAGTTGAATATGCATGGAAAAATGGCCTGGTAATAAAAGACTCACCAACATCTGTTGAATGTGTATGGAAGAGTTATGGGACCAAGAAAAAAGGACAGAAAATTGAACCAAAAAGAATTTCTGAACTCCCCATCAGCAAGCCCCAATACAAAAAGAAAAAAACTGTCATAAACAGCAAAGAAAAACAAGATTTTTTGCCTCTCTCTGACAGTTCTCATGATAAACCATCACACAAAAATATAATGTCCAGTTTATATCCAAGCTTACCTAATGCATGTGGTTTTCGTTATGTCAGTTTTACAAATCAGCCTAATTTTACTCCAGATGATGATATTAATGTTGAACATACTGTGGAGGTTCAGACTTCACCTTCTGTACCTAAGAGCATTTTGGACATGCTATTTACTGCTGATACAGAGGAGGATATTATGACTATGTTGTGCAACATAAATAAAGATGAGGTAGCTGCTCTGGAGAAGTACACACAAGGGCAAAGTAACAATGTCTTGTGGAAGAATCAACGCTTTGGACGAATTACTGCATCAGTCTCTCACAGAGTAATGACAAAAGTTAATACATTAACATCTGCAAAGTCAACAGTAAATTGTACCTCCTTATTGTCTACTTTATGTCCTGATAATAAAGTTTGTGAAATCAAGAACAGTGCTTTACTTTATGGTATTCACATGGAGGATGAAGCACGTACAGTATATGTTGAGCAACTAAAAATGCAAAAACATAAAAATGTCAGAGTATCACCATGTGGNTTGACACTGACAGATGGAAGAGCCTGAAAGATGGTGCTGAGTATTTTTTCAGGCATCACATTGCTCCCTATCTTATTCAAAACAAAGAAAACTGGCCAAAACCATGACATTATTATAGTATCAATATTACTACTGTTTGAATTGTTATTTAGCATATAATTAAGAAAATATGTTTGTACTGACCATGAACTCTGCTTTGTTTATCAATGAATGCATAATTCACTAAGCAATCACTGTTAGTTTATACCTTGTATGAAACTTTAAGATATGGCATAGAGATATTGTTATGAAATGTTAATAAAATGTTGGCAAAGAACTAAGTTTGGAAATATAGTTTGCACATTTAAGTTACCATCCAGTTAATGGAGGTAGCAAATTACATAGACATGCACACACAATTACAATATCATCTATRACYGGTAACAATGTTATGGACAATGTGTTGTTGACAATTTCAAAGTGCTTCATTCTTCCAATGGCCCTTTCTACATGTATCCTGCTGTTTGCAATTACTTTTGTTGACTTAACATCTTTATTAGTCATCTGCTCCAGCCCTGAGCTTGGTGGTGGTATGGTCAGTGTTGCACCTCTTARTAAAATATCTTCTCGAATAGTAAATCCACGGTCAGCCAGTATTAAATCACCAGGTTCTAGCTTATTTAAAAACCCTGACTCTATGGTAATGTGTCGGTCGGAYGTTCGTCCTCCCCAAGCCTTTGAAAGAAAATTAATCATTCCATTGGGAGCTATACCAACGAGGAATTTTACGGTGTTATTCTTCTTATAATCTGACCATGTGAGTGCACGCAATTTTAAATCCCTTGGCCGTTCAATGAATATCTCGGTACAGTCAATTGTGCATCTTAGGTTGGGATGTGATTTCTTTACTGAGTCTGGAAGTTTCTGATTAATACTCTCTCTTTCTGGCCAATAAATTAGGGGACTTACTTCTTTGCGCAGAAACTTAATCCATGTATTGAAAATTTGGGATACAGTACTAGTGCTAACATGAAAAAGATCTGCCAGAAGTTCATTGGCTAGGTAATGACGTAGCTTCATCATTGTAAGAAGCATTTCTTGCTTAATGGATAGYTTTCTCTGTGGTCCTCGCTTAGCTTGTCTTGTTGTTTTTTTATATTTTGATGATATTACCTTCTTCGAACCAGCCCAATACCTCATTTTCTTTGCTTTCCCACTCAAGTGCTTTTCCAACAATTCAAAACACTTTTTGTTTGGTAATCCAGTATAAAATGATACTTTCGAGTCATTTTTAATAAAAGTTTTCAAAAGACTATCATCTTCAGTTCCCATTTTTCCTGTATCCGTTTCATTCAATGCCTTTTCTAGTTGCTTTTTTAAACGTTCTATTTCCAACTGCTTGTCCAAGCAGCCTTGACATGTGATGTTGTTATGCTCCGTTTCATTGCTACAAGTGTTCGTATAATCATGGTCATGAATTACAAATTCTATTGTTGATGCTTCTCGCTCGTATGAAGAACTTTCCACGCGTGCTTTTTTCGTAGTAGTGCTAGTGGTTCGTTCTTTCGGTGGATTTCTCTTGCGTTTTAATACAACTGGTGCAGTGTTGGTAGACGCGA